CAGCTATATACTTGATCACCCTCTTATTACGACAGTACTAATAGAAAAGATTAAACTTCAAATAGCGATAAATGCTTGAGAGACGCATCTTCTCCGAATAGCATTTGTTATTATTATACCAGTACTACATTTCTGTAAAAGTTCAGCAAAATCGGTGACTCGCTAGCTGAAAGCTCCCCTTGCAAGTAAACGCCTAAACCGCGATATTTTCGGCACGAAATCAAACAATGCGTCCTTTAATCTCGTGCTTTGTAAACACAGAGAAAAATATCACTATAGTTTAAATTTTCCTTTCATTAACGTCCAACCGAATAATTACTATTAAAGAGGAATGACGTAAAGGGAAGTATTTCTCTCGACCCCGCAATTTGTATTCCAAGTTTTATGTTCCCTAAATGTATATAAAATTGAATGGAAAACGGTTATCTACTATTTTACACGATCTTTGTAATAGTAGTATAGTTATTAAATAATTAATTAAGATAAACTCTGTAATCACAGTTATAGAAGAATGTACATTCACTGTGAAAAGAACGTGTCTTATTTTGACTTGTTTATAATCTGTTAACGACGATATGACATGTTTTTTATCTATATAGAGATCATTTCATTGCATTATCGCATACTCATTGCTAATGTTTTTAATTAATTTTGTCTAAGATATGTAAGAGGTAGCCAATGTAACAACTATTATTCACACAACTTGATTATTAATTAAACAATAAAAACTTGAGCACCGACACAGGAAGATTTGCATGGCGCGATGTCGATTAAGAAATTGATGATAACTGAGAGAGATTGAGAGATGGTGACTGTCTAAACTTTGATTAAGGGTGTAGGGTTCCGAAAAGTACTTACCCCAGATTTTTTTGAAACTCAGTATTCTTACGTATTTTGACGCGCTAATTACGAATATCATAGTGAAAATTGACGACTACTTGATTTTCATGGTAAAACCGCGAAAAATCCATAAAAATTATAGTTTTTTATGTTTTTCTCAGTAAATATGAAAAATCATGATAAATGTTTTAGACAAAAGCTTTAGATCTTACAGAGATAAACATTTTAGATTCCATATATTTTCACCGTACGAATAATACTTTTCGAGGAAATGGAGTATAAAGACAGTAACAGCATTAACATCTATCGTCGTTGCGGTTAAAAAGTGTTTAATTTTTTTTCTTAATAATTTTTTAATAAACAATAATCTACAGCTAATGTGATGATAGATAGGGTTAGGTTAGTTTTTAGGGGGGTGCCGGGGGCGCAGCCCCCCGCTAGTCGTTCGATATTTTTCCCGTGTTGCAAATGTTAAAAATGTTAAAAATATTCTTAAAAAAAATTGTTAGAGTTTCTTCATAACTGTAAGTCCTCTTCCTTTTATTTCTTTTCGCCACGATTCGGGGGAAATATACGGTCTACGTGGCGAAATAATCCGCAGAAGGGATTCGCAGAAATCGAGTATAAAGACCGTAACAACGCTGTTACGATCTTTATACTCGATTTCCTCGAAAACTATCATTCGTACGGTGAAAATGTATAAGACCTAAAATATTTATCTCAGTGAGATCTAAAACTTTTGTTTAAAATATTTCTTATGATTTTCCGTATTTACTAAGATAAACGTAAAAAAACATAATTTTTGGGTTTTTCACGGTTTTCACCATGAAAATCAAATAATCGCCAATTTTCACTATGATATTTGTAATCCGCGCGTCAATATACGTAGGAATACTGAGTTTGAAAAAAATCGGGGGTGAGTACTTTTCGGAACTTTATCCTTTCCTTTTATTTTCCATATTAGCCTTGTAATTTTCATGATAATATTCCAATAATTAAGTGACTTAAGATATTGGATGTTACTCACGCAGTTTTATTGCTTCGATCACAGTATATAATTGCGGTTGTTATGCGCACTCGCTACAATAGAACTTGGCAGCGGCTACTACGCGATATCTCGGTTTGCTATCGCGACGATATAATTCGGCAGCGCACAATATTCAAAATCTCGGCTCGCTACCGCGACGATATAATTTGGTAGCGAAGAATACTTGAAATCTCGGTTCGGAATCGCGACAATTTAATTCGGCAGCGAAGTATACATTCGTGACCCTCGAGGGTCATGACAGTCACATAGGCACTTGGCGGTATACGCGCTCTTAAGTGCGTTATTGGACGTTCGGTAATTATATTCTTTATCAAAGAAATGAGCTCTCCGCACTCGCGAGAGGAACACGATTCCGTACGCTCCCGGGTGGACGGTCGGGCCCCAGTTCTCGATGCGGCCTCCGATTCACGACCTGAAACTTGAACATCAAAATGTCGTTCCGTCTGGAACGGACTCACCAAAAAGTTTCGCGAACCGGGCGCTGTCGGGCTGCTGGCTGCAGCGATCTCCCCGGATTATACACAAAATAACCGTGGGCAACCTTACGAAGCTCCCTCCAAAGTCGTCCTGTGATGATAGGCGTAGTAAGCGTCACGTTTTTCACAATATGTCATCTCGCAGATTGAATCACAAGAGAGTTCACGATAGTCGTTGAGGCCGGCTTTTATTCCGAAATTGAATCCTCGGCAACGACAGCTTGCGGCTTCTGATTGACTAATTGTTTCAGAGCCGTTTTCCTTTGTTGATCTCAGATGTTTAGATCGAGTACTATCTCTCTACTATCATGTTGGTAGCTTGCGGACTCGTGGCTTCGTCCTTGAGGCATCGCCTCGTCGGTAGCCTATGTCTCTTGTCGCCTCTTGAGTCTCGCAGCGTCCTCCGCTCGTCCATGGTGTTGGTCGACTCCTCCCTTGCAGCTTCCTCGCGGTAGCTCGTGGTCGACTCACCTCGGCAGCGGACGGCGATGTCTCCCGACGGTTTTCCAGCATTCTATCGGCTCGGATTCTGAAACATTTTAGCCATATGAGTCGCCCTATCTCCTATACTTAAGTTAGGGATCAAGGAAATGATTCACATGTAAGGTCCGGCCTCCGACGTGTCGTCTCTCATCCTTCCTTCCGCAGCGACAGCACAATCCCTTAGTTAGCGTGGATCTTTTTTCTTCTACGCGTTCATTCGACGGCCCGCTCGTGCGTCGTACACACGACACTTTGTTACCCAAAGTTTTTTTTTCATTTATCGGGTTCGCATTTCGCTCGCCTTATGGCTAGGACGCGACACCTAACATTCAACCTGGAAGCGCATTCGTGCTTTCTCACTAATTACAGTGACGGGCGATCTTTCAAAATCGCCACGTCATAACATTTATGAGTAATTCTAATGTTTCAACACGTCTTTATTATGTGATGCTTATTATGATTTAATTCTAATTCTTAATAAATATATGTGTTTATCAGTCTAATCTTATCTTAACAATCGGGAAAGAAGTCAAAATACAGTTATTTTTATCAGAGTTATAATAAAAAAAGTAGCTGGGGTCCTTTAGACCCCAGTGTAGCATCTACGTATGCGAAAAATAAGTGTGTATAGGGTTAAAGTATATTTAAATACTAATTGTATTTAAATATACATTTATAAATACTTTTAAATACAATTATTCTTTAAATCTGTTTTTATTTTAAATAATGGAGGATAATATCCTACATAGCACGTAATATTACAAATATCACAAAAATACTACTGCAATATTACCACTATATTGCAATATTAATGTAATATTAGCACGATATTGTAATATTACTGCAATATTTCAGTAATATTACGTGGAAGATGATCTTATTGTGATTACTTTAATATTAAGTACATAGTCTGGAAATGGAATCGTATAAAAATAAGATCAGAAGTTGAAAGCAGCACTTTAAAAGATAAATTTATTTATTTTAATTTAAGCACTTTATAAAATACAAATAATTGCTATAAGATAATAACACATATAATGATTTAATGATATACTATACAGAGTACGTTCTATTTATTATTACTTTGGTTATTTATTATTTTTGGTCATTTATTATTTTTTGTCAAAAATAATGTTATTTAACTCATAAAACTTTATAAAATAAAAATAATAAGCAACATATATAGTGACGGGAATGTATAGAGCGGGGAAAACGGCAACGAAGTCCGCTCTCTGCTAATGAGAACTGTTTCAGCGACTGCCAAGTGTATGTAACGGCCGATATATAGACGGCGTTGGTATAGCGACGATAAGTGACAAAATATGAAATTAGTAATTACATAAATACATATTTATATAGTATTTATATAATTACTTAATATTTAAATACTGTATTTAAATAAGATATTTAAATATATATCTCAGATACTTTAAAATACGTATCTGCCTAACCCTGCCTATTGTAAAGGTCATCAAATAATAAAGGATTTCTGTTTAGTTTTATGCCTACTAGCATCACGAACAGTATCGTGGTTATCAGATACCATGTATATCTTATGACATTAAAGTTAATATTTTATCTTTACTAGCTTACATAAGCTAGTATTGAGCGGAAAAATTTAAATATCCACGAATGAAGAAATGTATAATTAATAAATCTATTTATTATATACATATACTATATACATATACAGAATATTTGATAGTGATCGCTTACAAAGTACATTATAGTGTTTCTAGATTGTAAGAATGCTCTATTTTAGAGCAATTTTTTCCTATGTACAAATGTAGATAACGTATTATTTGTTTAACATTCATTTTGGGAAGAGAGTTAGAGAAACTGTCATGACATAAACGTAAACATTAGATGCAAGGATTATTTAACACTTCTACGGAATATTATTAGTTAAAATTCATTTACAAAACGAAAATAAACAGATTAAAAATAGTGTTATTTAAATTTTTATAAGAAAAATTGTCGATTTTCTTCTATTTTATTTCAGCAATAGTACTATATTAACTTTCAATAGTACTATTAACTGTATAATAGTACAATAGTATATACTTTTTAGACGATTATTATGTATGAAATGTATTGTATAGATGTTTTTAGATTATGTTATAATGGTTTTCTAACTTTTGTATGAATTTTAGTAAGCAATAGGGATTCGTATAAGGAGCCTAGCAGCCATGTTGCTACTGAAAGATACTCACCTGTACGCCGAGCATCGGAAGGATCGGGTGCACCTGGACCAGCTATCCAAGCTATTCAACAAGAATATCAACAGTTACAAAGATTAGCATCTCCTTCACATAGTCCTGCAAGTATTCCTGGATCTCCTGTACATGAAAGAGGTGTAGCAGCAATTACACAAGGTATCAATTCTTTTCTTTATAAAGATGTAGTTTTTTACGAAGTCAATTTTTTTAATTTATATATTTTTTTAACATAGATCGATTCCTTAGATCATTTTACATATAAAAATATTTAGATATGATTATTAAAAGTGAATACTTTCCGTCATATTTTATATTTTACTCTGATTTTTTCAATATAAAATATAAAATATTTCGTACTTATTTCTCGATAAACAATATTCTAACACTTTTGTACATAGAACAACAAGATAAATCGATTGATAATACTGTTTTTTGCATATTAATGCATTAATGCATCTTTAAATGCAATGGAATTTTTTATATTATATAACTCATTTTAATTTATCCACTAAAATATTCCAAAACTCATAAAGAACTTCGCCCATTTTTATAGGAGCCACCCGCGTCCAGTCATCAATTACATATAAAATTGTAAATATAATAATGGTAGTATTTAAAAAAAAATAGTTTTAGATACTCAAACCCCCGCCGAAAGTAATTCTGACCTATTAATGATATAATTTTATTCGTTCGATGGTATCATCAGAGTTGCCCAGCATGTTTATTATTTATCTTTACACGATGTTTTCACGCTTTCAATTAACTAATGATTTTTTCTAAAGATTTCTTTTTGCATCCAAGACCTCGTCGTGGTGACAGTGGTACAGGTGCATGCACATAAGTGAGAATTTGCATAAAATATGAAATTAATTGTAAATCTTTAAAAGAAACGTCAAATGTGTGATAGCTTACCCAAGCAACAGCAAGTTGACTGTCGGCCGGCAAAAGAAGTTTAAAGCCGACTGCAAAACCTGACTGATTGCCGGCTGCTAGTCGACTAACAATCGACAAATGTCCCGATAATTGCCGGCTATTAGGAAGCCATTACAGCCGGCTAAAAACCGGCTCTTTTTTGACAGCTTTCTGCCGACTTTAAATGCCAACAGAAAGCCGGTTGTTTCTTGGCTTTCCGCCGACTGTAAGACGACTTTCAGTCAGTTTTCAGTCACCTTTCGGCCAGCTTCATTTTTTACAGTTTGTTCATAAAATATTGGTATTTTTTAAAACTGGAGCAACATATATTTTCATTATACTTTAAATATATCACTATTTTATGCAGGATTTACATCGCGTTCGACGTATGACGTCAAAATATCGAATAAAAGAATAGTTTTCCAATGGAGAATTTAATTCTCTATTAGAAAGCTATCCTCTTATTGGATATCGGACGTCGTACATCGGACGCGTTCAATCCTGCATTAGTCAATGATACCAGATTTGTCCTATTTTTTCGTGCAGAAAACTGCTTTTGAAAAATTGTTCTTAAAAATAATTTTAAATAAAAATAGACAAAAGTCGAATTTTTTTACTTTAACTTGTGTATATATATATGACATATTTAAAGCACAATGAAAATAACTCGCTCAAGTTTTTAATAATGCCTATGTATATTTTAGGTGACATAAGTATAATAAATAAAAAACGCAACAACAAATATAGTTAAAATGTATTAATTTTTTATTTTTTAAATAACAGCGACCTCAGTTGATCACCGGATCGACGCAACAAATTTTGCATATGTCGTTCCACTTCACTGATTGTTGAAAATACCCAGTAAACACAAAGTATCATCATAAAATGCTGATATATGTACATTGGCAGAATAAAATTGAATTTATTTTACTACGGCAACATTTCACCTATACGGTATGCATTGCACTCTGTATTGAAAGCTCTATCATAATTCTCATGATCACCCATCAGAGATACTTGTAGGCGAAGAAAACTTGTCCCCATATATACCCAAGAAACACAAAGTATCATCGATGTTACAATGTCAGCTCAATCATATGGTATATTACGTAACTGTTACTTTGTTATATAAAAAAGTAACAGTTACATAACATACCATATGATTGAGCTGACATTGTAATATGAATGATACTTTGTGTTTCCTGGGTATATATGGGGACAAGTTTTCTTCACCTACAAGTATCTCTGATGGGTGATCACGAGAATTATGGTAGAGCTTTCAATATAGAGTGCAATGCATGCCGTATAAGTGAAATGTTGCCATAGTAAAATAAATTCAATTTTATTCCGCCAATGTACATATATTAGCATTTTATCACAAATGCAGGGATATATATTGCATATATGTAATAGGCATATTGGTATTGTATTATTCTATTTGTTTTTTATTTTCTATATGATGAAAGCAATATATTACATATAACTATATAGCCAAATGTGCGCAAACAGATTTTGAGTAAAGCTTGCTACACATTTTTGATGCAGAGAGGCAACAAATTTGACACAGAATCTGTTCTATCGGATTATGTTCCCTGGTAAAAAAAAAAATTGATAGAGAACGATTGAGAACGATAGAATTTCTATCAATTTATATTGTTTTCTATAAGTTCTATCGTTCGCAAGCGTCAGTATCGTATTGTATTTTATCTGGTTCTATTAGAATCAGATTCTATTTGTATTATATAGGAAACTGACGATAGAAATTCTATCACTATCTATTGTATTCTATTGTATACGATAGAATACTATTCACATTTGTGAATTCACGAACTAAAATCCATATTCAAAACGATAGAAAACGATAATTTTATTCTATCTTTCTCTATCGATTTTTTTTACCAGGGTTGCCAAACTGTCACCAAAAATGTGGCAGAGCCTGCTGACAGACAATTCGAGCAGATTTGCGGCAGAAACGCGGGCAGAGCATGTAGATATAACGACAGATTGACGACAGAAATCGAGCAGGCCCTGCTACGCTGCAAAATCTGCGCAGGTTTTGCTATCAATTTGCGCGTAATCTGCAATTAATTTGCTTATAGGGTAATCGATGCATTGATCATTGATGCCACAAACGAACATAACCAAAAATTCTGGCGGAAATATGCACGGTTATTGATAATGAATCATCTGCTTACCTTGATGTGTGCTGAAGACTTTCCGAGACTGTACTGATGTGTGGCCAAAATGTTACCAAATCGAAATTGATTGAAAATTTTCAATTAAGGGAAGCAGCAACTCGCGTCACAAAGAAGAAAGGAACTATATACATACAAGATTATGTAACGGCGCGCCACCCCGATGACGCGGCGAACTAGCAATGCTGACGTCTGCCAAGACCTGCCTTAGCTAATTTAAATAGCCGTCTAATTTCCAACTTTTCATAGTCGACTATAAGTTGATTGGGAAAAGCCGACTATTAGCCGACAAACCAAGAGTCGACTTTTAAGGTCACCAAAGTGGTTGACTGTGAACCAGCAGTCGACTGTTGAAGTCAGCCAGTACCAGACTTAAAATTGTCGGTTAATTGCCGACTTTATACAGTCGACTGTAAGTTGACTGGAAAAAGCCGACTGTCAGCGGGCAAACAGTCACCTATGTTACTTGGGCTGATTCTCATAAATGTATTGTGTGATATTTTATTCATAACATTTTGACGAAATTGTTATTATTTTCGATATGTTTATTTAAATGATAGAAAAAGATTATTATTGTATATATTGTCGTATGTATAGAACTTTCGTATCAATATTTGGAAAAGGGACGACATGTGCGTACACCTGTACCACTGTATGTTGTACCGTACCTGAGCGCGCGTACTTTAGACAGTATAATTGGTCAACTTTAATCGTTTATAATTTAAAAAATATTATAGCCTCGCCATTTTTGTATTAGGATTTTCTTACTTAAATTATTTCAGGAATCCGCCGTTAAGAGATAATGCGATAGTGACGGAACATCTTGTATATCTGAGATATATCTAATTGGATATCGCTCGTAACATATCGCGTATCGCGTCGTGCATCGCGCTGATCTGTGAGACCATTAGCGATTAGTGACGAGCGATGAGCGATATCCAATCAGAACTCTGATTTAAGAAGAAATAAGAGCTCTCATTGGATATCGCTCATCGCTCGTCGCTAATCACGTCCAGTGTACAATGCCCAAGACATAGGATTAAGATATAAGCAAAGTGACCAATTACAGTCATAATTGGCATCTGGCGATCTGCCAGATTGAGGATGGACTATAATTGGTCATTTTACTTATTGCTATTAGCTTATGCATAGACTGAATTTAATAGATTTAAAACAAAAATAACTATTAGAGTAACAAATTAATCATTACCGTTACTGGAAAAATATAACTACGTTACCGTTACAGTTACCGATCAGAAAAGTAACGCCGTTACTGTTATAGTTACCGAAAAAAGTAACTGTAACGGTAATGATGTTACAAGTAACTCGTTACTTCCTAATCCTGTATCTAGGATATGCTAAGTACTTTTTTAATGATGTACAAATACTTTCTAAGCATAGCAATGATATATTTGTTATGTTAGACTTAAAAGTAATTGGAGAGATTTAACGTACTGACGGATTCATTTGGCGGAAGTGTGGCTGGGGAGCAATCATTAAAGGCAATATCAGTTGGAATAAAGAATAATAATAATTTATGTTAACAAAAAACATGAGCATAATGAAATATATTTAAAAATATGATAATGATATTCTACACTAAGTCAAAACGAAATATCGTATTTGGGAGCATTGGTCATCAAACTTCCGGAGACGAGTCCGGGCGGTTCAATTTAGCCTGGGGAATCTCCGGAGACTTGTCCGGTCAATTTATAGACTTGCTGAGGCTTACGACATGCTGCAGTGAGCGTGCTACTGCCAGGATCTCAAACCTTTGAAGATTATATTCGGTCAGTTTATTGGCACTGGGTGATTTGAAACTCCAGAGATCGTCTGGTCGATTGCAAATCTTACGTGGGTGGACCGCTCACCCCTCTTTGTTGGTCGACCATTTATATCATGGAGAAAAGGTATGCCTGATTTGACCTCAGACATTTCCCAGTAGTTGTAAGCCACTGTCTCTCCGCTAAGAAGGTGTTTTGAATTAGGGTCATACCCCAGTTTGAGTAAATGCTTGTTGTATAGAGCGTCGGGGACCAAGGATTGTTT